GGCTGAGGAGGGTGCAGGGAGACGGGGGGGTGGAGGTGGTGTAAAGAGGCTGAGGTGGGTGCAGGGAGACGGGGGGGCTGAGTTGGTGTAGAGAAGCTCAGGTGGGTGCAGGGAGACAGGGGGGTTGAGTCCGCCCCTGCTTGGAGGACCCTCACCCTCAGGGCCACCCTCCCGTGGTGCTGAAGGGATTAAAACCCTTTCAGCCACTTACCTTAATCCAGCGGCAGGCTCCCTCGGTGCTGGTAACCTCTCCTCCACCGCCGATGTCAGCTCCAGAGAGGCTGAGATGGGTGCAAGGAGACAGGGGGGCTGAAGTGGGTGCAGAGAATCTGAGGTGGGTGCAGGGATACAGGGGGTTGAGGTGGTGTAGAGGGGCTGAGGTCGGTGCAGGGAGACAGGGTGGTTGAGGTGGTGTAGAGAAGCCGAGGTGGGTGCAGGGAGACGGGGGTTTGAGGTGGTGTAAAGAGGCTGAGGTGGGTGCAGGGAGACAGGGGTGTAGAGGGGCTGAGATGGGTGCAGGGAGACAGGGGGTTGAGGTGGTGTAAAGAGGCTGAGGTGGGTGCAGGGAGACGGGGGGGCTGAGTTGGTGTAGAGAAGCTGAGGTGGGTGCAGGGAGACAGGGGGGTTGAGGGCGTGTAGAGAAGCTGAGGCGGTGCAGGGGACGGGGGGGTTGAGGCGGTGTAAAGAGGCTGAGGGTGCAGGGGAGATCTGGGGCTGAGTTGGTGTAGAGAAGGGAGATCGGGGTGCAGAGAAGCTGAGGTGGGTGCAGGGGAGACGGGAGCTGAGGTGGCAAGAGGCCTGAGGGTGGTGCAGTGGGAGAGGGGGGGGGCTTGAGCTGATGTAGAGGGGCTTGAGGTGGGTGCAGGGAGACGGGGAAGGCTTAGTTGGTGTAGAGAAGCTGAGATGGGTGCAGGGAGACGGGGGGCTGAGGTGGTGTAAAGAGGCTGAGGTGGGTGCAGGGAGACAGGGGGGGCTGAGTTGGTGTAGAGGGGCAGAGGTGGGTGCAGGGAGACGGGGGGGCTGAGGTGGTGTAAAGAGGCTGAGATGGGTGCAGAGAGACGGGGGGCTGAAGTGGGTGCAGAGGGGCTGAGGTTGGTACAGGGGGGCTGAGGTGAGTGGAGGAGACATAATGGCTGTGTGTGCTGCAGGCAGACGGGGTGGCAGTACAATACATCTATAAGGAGTTTACCTGTACTGTCTGCCAGCTGCAGCTCCTTTCCTTCCACATGGTCTGCAGGAGAGGGCAGGAAGTGATCCCCTGGGCCCCGTCTCTTCCTCCTCGCTGAGAGCACCACACAGGGGAAGGAGACCTGGAGCAGAGAGAGCAGGAATTGATGTCACTTCCCATACCCTGGTGCGGGAGGGACACTTACAGTAAGATAGGTTGCAGAGCCCTGCAACTTGTTGCTGTAATATGTGTGGGATTTTGTCTGTCTGGGGGATCTCTGATCCCCCCAGCTGGAGCATGGCCGTGCAGCCGGGCCCCTGACTGCCTATGGCCCTCAATCTATGACCGATATGCCCGAGTGCTCAGTCTGCCCCTGATGTTACCATATAAATGAACTTGTAGTTGCCACATCATGCCATGATACAATAGTAACCGAACAAACTCACGCACGTTCTCTAATACATTCTAGGGCAGGCTGGTCTAAACTTTGAAAATATTTCCAGTCTAGTGACTGGTTTAAAATGTGAAATTCACTTTGAATTCCTTACAATTTACACTTTAGTATTAACTCATTCAAGCCCATATCAACTCCCTTACAGTGGACGAGAATGCCCTAGCAATTTACTGGAAGCATTAATCCCTGCTTGCACCAGAAAGAT